GCCGCCACCTCCACCGCAGCCTCCGCCGCCACCGCCTCCACAGCCGCCACCGCCTCCACAGCCGCCACCGCCTCCGCAACTGCTACCGCCTCCGCAGCCTCCAGATGGCGCTGGACATGGAGGAGGACTGGAAATGGTATGTATTAGATTATGTGGTAGCAAGAAAGATATATGCAGGATGCCTGGCTCGAAAGAGTCTTGCCTCGCCATGCAGTCGAGAGAAAAGAAAAAAGGAAACAGATCATTTACGATCACTCACCAAGGTGGAGGACATGGAGGAGGACATGGAGGTGGGCATGCAGGTGCTGCAGGAGCGGGGCTGAAAAATTAAGTATGATGAATTTGCGAGTGAAAGGAGTGCTGTTGAAATTATATCTAAGCAAAAAAATTGCTACAAAGCAATTCACATACCAGCAGCTGCTGCCGCCACTACTGCCTCCAAAAAGGAAGGCGTCACATGCAACAAAGAAGGCTAACGCGACTACCGCGTATTTGATCATTCTGAAAGTGTGATAATGATTACAAGAAGTGTATCCAGGTGTTGATTGGGCAATCTGAAAGGAAATGCTAGATGTATTGGATGCGGTTTTCTCAATCATGGCGGCCTTTTATACCGATATGCTATGCTGACATCGAGTTTATTGCGTGAATCGGTTATTCATACCTATCTGGAACGGCTTATTCGCATCCTCACATCGATGTTACGCTACGATTTATTGGGTCCTTGAACAAACTATCGTAGTCGAATATCGTATTTGTAGTTTCACTACTTTTGAACTGGGTCGAAAATATCTGTAAATATAAATATTTATATATTTATTGGTCTCAACATTAGCACCATACAAGGACAATTATACTATAAGGGCGACAGACTCCTAATAGATTTGGTTGATTAAATTTTCACTTCCAGAGAACTGTAACATGCCCTACAGTAATAATCGGTACATTAGCATGAGTTTGGGGATGAACACATAGATTTGAAGAGCATTTCCCAATTGAAGCCACAAAGAAGGCTTCGATATATTTTTTACAATATTTTTGCAATATTACATTTTTACAATATTAAATACTATTCCCGTGATAATGAAAGTATTCGCTGTGAACAATATCTTTCTGGAACCAAATACACATTTTACGCGAAAACCGTGTCAAGCTTTGTAGACATGAATACTGTATTCACCAAAATCAGGTGCTGAAGTGTAATTCCTACTTCTTATCAGCGACTTTTAAAAACTATTTTTGTATATTCGTGGTGCTGGCATTCATCCCAACACGCGTATGAGA